TATATATTATTATATTTTTTTTATATATACACACACAGACTCCAGCTACTTGTTTTCTATTTTCTCTCTGTACCCTGCCTCACTCAAGATGCCATGTGCTAGTCCAGTGTTTCTCAACCTTTTTTTCTTTCTTTTTTTATAATAAAGTACCCCTTTAAAAAAATTAAGTACCCACTGTACCTTCAGTTCTCTCACTCTCACTCTCACACACACTTTTTTTTCTATCGTTGCAACACATTCGTTTAAACAACTTAATTGTAGCAAGGTGGGCGATGAAATTTTTGGGTCTAAAAAGTAAAAAAAATAAGAAAGCGCTGTAAAACTTACAACAAAAATTCAGTTTTCTCCAAATTTCAATTGTGTTGATGTACCCCACAGACTTCTCTCGAGTACCCCTAAGGGTGCTCATACCACTGGTTGAGAGACACTGCTAGTCTGCCTGCATTTCCAGCCAGCTACAAACAGAAGGCTGCTGCAGCTGCGCTGACCAGAGGACTCAAGGACCAGCACGGTGCATGCAAATACGGGCTAGTTTGTCCCCTTTTTTTAAGAAAAGTTGGGATGCCTGGAAAGGAGCTTAAATAAGGGGCAGTCCCAGTAAAAATGGGATGGATGGTCACCCTACACACAGGATATGTAATAATTAGTATCGTATGTACAGAAAGGGTTCTATAAAACCATTACATTTTGAGTTAAGGGTGGGTGTTATACAGAGTATTTTACATATGTATATATTGATCTGTTTTCATTCCTCCCCACTCAATTTTTATGATTCGATCATAACGTTGGATCGATCCCTGCCCATCAATTCAGCTGATAGTGAAGATTTGCTCCCTAAGAGTCTTAGACTTACATTATAGCTGGTGGGAGTTGAGGATGCACAACATCTTCTAGCTCAGGTCCTGACAAATTAATGCTAACCTGATCGCTTTCTCTTTCTGATTGTCATTCACTACTACTCTGGTAGGGAGGAATGTATAAGTTTAAAAAAAAAAAGTGTTTTTGTTTAAATATTTTAATTTAGTGTAAGCATTTGTATTTCTGTTAGGCCTCATTTTATATTTGTTACTCATCTAAAACTTCCCTAGACTCAAATGAGTCAAAAGTGAGTTGTGAGACAAGGTATGGCAAGCTCCCTTTTTAGGTAGGCTTAAACTATTTGCCTAGTGACATCCTCATAACTAAAAAGTTAAAGACAAATTAAACAAAATGTAAGCAATGACTACAAAATTGATGTCCAATCCTGCAATGGTCCAAGCAACAAATACGTTTGTCTGATGGTTCTTGGAGCAACAGGTTTTCCAGTCTAAGTTAGAAAGGCCTGTACAATCCAAGACCAGTTGAAAGATCTAGTGGAGTCTACTGAAATTTTCAGTGGACATAAGCAACTGGAGGTCAGAGTGCTCTTACAATCTGAGTTTACAGTATAATTTATGCATAGAACATATTGTATTTGACTCATATCTGCAAACAGAACTTTAAAAGTTAATTTTTGCTTTTTTTGTCCTTTATTTATTTAATGCAGTCCTCAGCTACATCGACGAAGAAATTCAGGTGAAGAAAATCATGCCGTTGTTCAGTAAATCGCACAAAAATCCTGCTGAGATTGTAAAAACTCTGAAAGAAAACATGGCCATACTGGAAAAGCAAGAGAAAAAAACAGACAAGGTATGAGATCATGTTTTTAAAAGACTAGTGATAAGGTATTTATTTGTACTCAGGGAACAACAGTTTGAAGAGAGTGAAATTGTGTTCACCAAGGCTGTGATCTTGCAAGCACTTATGCATGTGAAAAAACTTAAACAATGAACAGTCTTGCAGCACCTTAGAGACTAACAAAAAATGTAGATGCTATCACGAGCTTTCGTGGGCACAACTCACTTCTTCAGAGTTACTTAAAGTACAATGAGCAGTCAATGAGGCTGCTCATCTAAAGTTAAAGCATTGGGTAGCAAGTAACCTAATATTTCTACATTCAACAGGCTAATCCAAAAAGTAAATGATTTGTATTACAGTAAACTTCTGATAATCCGGCACCTTTAGGACCCAGGGGGTGCCGGATTATCAGATATGCCGGACTATCAGAAGGGGGGGCTATGAGGGGTCTGGAGTGGGGTGGGAGGGGATGCCACCCCAGACCCCTCATAGCCCCCCCTTACCCTAATATTTCTACATTCAACAGGCTAATCCAAAAAGTAAATGATTTGTATTACAGTAAACTTCTGATAATCCGGCACCTTTAGGACCCAGGGGGTGCCGGATTATCAGATATGCCGGACTATCAGAAGGGGGGGCTATGAGGGGTCTGGAGTGGGGTGGGAGGGGATGCCACCCCAGACCCCTCATAGCCCCCCCTTAC